TGTTCATAGAACCACTTTTCTACAACTAACTACTCCTTCTTAAAATGGTGTGCAAGCCCTAATTTCCCATCCCCCTTTTGAGTTATTTGCCACTGAGTTCACTCATCACCACACATATGTGCATTGCACACATAAGCAACATTATTTTTCCTTTTGGTAGTCTGTCTTTCATCACTTTGATTTGCATCTCCTAAGTCCTACACCTAAGACATCAGAAGAAAGGGATTTTATCCTTCCCAACAGAACTTTTCTCACCCATCCCATCCCCATCTTCTGTTTTCTGCACATCTCTGATCCTCTCATAGACTATGTAAATATATAATAGCATAATTATTACATATTTGTATGCTTCTAGATATGTAGATACATTTTAGATACAGACAGATACATACATACATACACACATATATAGGTAATGCAAATAGATGTAGTTATTAAGGTTAAAGTTGGCTTAACTTGCCTCTACTAGTTAGGCAAGTCCATGAAAATAGGGATATTTTAGATACTATTTTACTTCTTTGAGAATTTCATACATGCATACAACATATTTTTATCATATTGACTCCTCCCCTCTCCCTAACTCCTCCCAGATACATTTCTATCCACTCATCTCCTCCCAACTTCATGTCAACATATATAAATATATATATATATTATATATATATATATAATATATATATATTTGTACTATCCATATACTCATTAGTATGAGACTATTCACTGATGTGTGTTCAACCTACCAAGGAACAAATCTTTAAACAAAACTGACTCTTTGGCCCCAGAAACCATCAGCTGTTCATAGCTCCTTGGCTAGGGGTGGGTGTTTACTGGATGAGCAGGCCAATAAGCAGCACTTCTCCATGACCTCTGTATCAGCTCTTGCCTCCAGGAACCTGCCCTGTTTGAGTTCCTGTCCTGACTCCCTTTGATGATGAATTGTGGTGTGAAAGCTTAAGCCAAATACCCTTTCCTCTCCAAGTTGCTTTAGTCATGGTGCTTCATCACAACAATAGTAACCCTAGCTAAGACAGATGTATCCTCAGGATATTAAGAAGTATCTGAAATACAGGTTGTGTGATGGCTATTCTTGGTTGTCAACTTGACTACATCTGGAATTAGCTAAAATCCAAGCAGCTGAGTATACCTGTAAGGGATGTTTCTTGATTGAATCATTTGAGTTGGGAAGACCCACCCTAAGTCTAGATATTTTGAGGTGAGAAGATTCACCTGAAATCTGGGCCACACCTTCTGGTGGCAGCCTAAGTAAAGGGCATGGGAAAGGGAAGTATTTGCTCTTTGTCTGCTTACCCTGCCACTGGTAAGTTCACGCTTTCACTGGTATTAGAAACTACTTATTTACAATTATGACATACATTGAAAACCAGCTGAGACACCCAGCCCAGTGGACTGAACAAATACTGGATTATTGGACTCTCCATCAGTATACCGCCACTGTCAGACTAAGTTGGACCACAGGCTGTAAACCACACTAGTAAATCCCCTCTACATATCCATTCTATTAGTCTGTTCCTCTACAGTACTGACTAGTACAGAGTGTATTCAGTTTTGTTAGTGAATGGAAGCAAACAATCAATTAAAATCACCACAGCCTTTGCAAATATGAGATAAAAAGAAAGCGTTAACCATATTATTAAAAATTTGGAGGTTAGTTTATTAATTTGGCTGAAATGGTAAGGGATTACTGAAGAAACCACACTAGAATGGTATCTTCCCTAGTAGTTAAGATGTTTACAGGAATCCAAAAAGCCCTGTATTGACAAAGGAGAAAAGACAAAGGACCAGGAGGAACAAGAGGAGGTAGAAACCAGTTTTACTTTGTAAGCAGTTCTAAGGTTTAGGGAACAATGATGGTTGTCTAAGTATATTACAAGGAAATTTACCAACAAAGAAAGACCTTAATCCAATATTCACCAGATTTTTTTTTTAAGTTTCAGGAAATTTGTTTTAGTAGAGATTTTTTACCTCCAGTGATACACATTGGTAAGTAAGTGATGTAAACATACCATGCAAGCATCCAAGGGAGAGAACCAATAATAGCTATGACACTTATGAACTCAACAAGGACCACATGGCCCAATTACTCTAAGGGTGCAGTGGTGGCACTCATATCTTGATAGTAACAACAGCTTTCCAATTGGATTTAAGGCCTGCTCAACAAGAGGGAAATCATACCTGGTACTAGAAACCAAGGCAGCTACCTGTGGTTAAGTGAGGTCATAGATCTTAGAATATAGCCTACAACCACCACTTTACTAAATCAGCATAATTCCTGATTGCATTCTAAATATTTATTCTTATGCACACAAATAAATGCAGCTCTCAAGCCCTCAACAAAGAAACTTCTCTCTGCAACAGACAAAGACCATTATAGAAAAGCAGAGCTAATCAAAATGCAGAAAACAAGTGATTATGTGGTGTCCATCCCCAATTGGTCCATCTACAGCACAGCTCCTGCACCTAAGGCTCAGAGAACTTCACAAAAGGGGGTAGAAAGATTATAGGAGCCAGAGAACAGGGTGTCTGCTATGAGATTGTGTCTTCTAGAAGTGTCAGGGAAGCTACACTCATGAAGTCTCAACAACACGACTACTTAGACAAGACCTGAGCAAGGACAGTAGATAGAAGGGGAATATTTCACTGGGCCCTGTGCCTAGACAGAGAATTACAGACAACTAAGGACTGTTGAGAGTAGATGAAAATAATCCTCCCAGAATAAAAGCCACACACCCCAACCACCACCATCATCAATCTGGTTATCCAATATAAAGTGCTCAGCCCTGAAATCATAGAAATACAGATAACATTATCTGGACTGAACAGATTGTTGTTATATATTTAGGAGCATGTGTTTGTGTGTGTGTGTGTGTGTGTGTGTGTGTGTGTGTGTGCGCGCTCGCGCACGCACGCGCACGGGCACGCGCAGGTGGACATGTGTGTGTGTGTGTGTGTGTGTGTGTGTGTGTGTGTGTCTGTGTCTGTGGAAGGATGCATTATATGCATGTGAATGTGTGTGTTTGTCTGTCTGCATGTGTGTGCATGCATGTGTATGTAACAACAAATAAAGAAAAAGAGGTCAGGGACATGAACTTGAGAGATAGCAAGAGGAGGAATACATAGGAGGAGATGGAAAGAGGGAGTGGAAAGGGGAAATGATATAATTATACTTTTTTTTTTTTTTTTTTTTTTTTTTCGAGACAGGGTTTCTCTGTGTAGCTTTGCGCCTTTCCTGGAACTCACTTTGGAGACCAGGCTGGCCTCGAACTCACAAAGATCCGCCTGCCTCTGCCTCCCGAGTGCTGGGATTAAAGGCGTGTGCCACCACTGCCCGGCCGATATAATTATACTTTAATTTCAAATGTAAAAAGAATTTAAAATGCCACGTTTCAGTTACTGTTCTAAACCTGCACTGGCTTGCCCAAAGTTATCCACAAAATTGCTTTGATAAGCTCAACATGCAGCTGCAAAATCTTACTTTAAAAATATTTTTTCATTCAGTTTCATACTCAGTTTACTGTTTCATGCCTTTGGGGGGGGGGGGGGTGTCTCCAGAAACGGAATACAGAGTTGTACCCATATGTGTATATGCGGTAAAAGTGAAAATAAAAGGCCACCGCAAACAGTGGGAGCTAAAGACAAATTAGGTAGAAGCTGAAATGGGCAAACCCCTGAGTGGTATCCTCAGGCCAATCCCAAACTGTGATAGACGTCCTTTATACATTGCTACATATGTCCTTATACACAAGATATCTGGGTCTTTCCGTGTGTGGAAATGGCACAAAAATGGTGCCTATAATTAACCATAGGAGCAGACTTTATTGTGTTATCTTCTGAGAAACATAAAACGGTTAAACCCTGTTAAATCTAAATTCCATCCAATCCCATTCCATTTAAATCAATGATACAGCTTGGCGCACCATCTATTATTATTCTATGTATCATTAAGGAAGAATAAATCTTACACCTTTAATTCCAGCACTCAGGAGGCAGAGGCAGGCGGATCTTTGAGTTTGGGGCCAGCCTAGTTTACAGAGCAAGTTCCAGGACAGCCAGGCTCACACTAAAACCCTGTCAAAGTCTAAAAAAGAAAAAAAAATGAAAGAATAAAACTTTGTTATTTATAATCACAAAATAACTTTAATTATAAGACATATTTCAATTTCAATTTGAGAGATTTTTAAATAAAAGAAATTCTCAATTATTCATTTTTTAGTATTTAGAAGTTACAATTGGGGGAACCAAACATTCTAAAAATTCTTTTTTTTCTACCAAGGAAAAGAAATACTAATAGTAAGTTAATTTATTTGAATAAGCCACTGCTGTGTGTGGATCCTCTTGGAACAATGCAGATTATCTGCTATTCTGAGTGTAAGAAAATTGTGGAGTGTCCCAGGATGCTAGAATTCTGGCTAGCACGAGCAATATAATATATGACCCAGGAGGAAAAATATGTCCTGGAAATAAAAGAAGTAACATTTTAGTAATAATCTCTTGAAGGACATACTGAGCTTTGGAAGCTGTTACCTTAGAATAACGCTGCCCCTCTTAAATTCACGGTCACTGCGTTTCTCAAATTAATTTTATTAGAAACTTGAATTCTCACAAAGTGACTTTGTCTAATGAAAATATTTACCAACATCATCCTTTATATCCAGGGCTTCTTGCTGTGTTCTAATGGCAACCAGAAAATGTAATTCTGAAAATTGTTTTGACAAATAGCAGATAAATCACAAAGCATAAGTAAGATAATGCTTCAAATGGAGGAAGGCTTAATAGTCTAATATCCAAAAAGTGAGAAAAAACTGCTAACAGGAAAACAGAAAACACTCATCCAGTCAAGAACACAGCCGGCATCTTCCGAAGTGGGAATTATAAACACTAAGAAGTCACTAAGCAATTCTGCTTTACGAGGAACAATGTAAGTAAATGTACCATTCGATCTAATAACATAGATATGAAAAGGGTAAACTGTTAAAACATACCTGCAGTCGCTGCTTGCTGTAGTGGCAGATCCATTTTGAAAGGAGAGTCAGTAGATGTAAGATTCAAAAACATTATTCATCTCTTTCTCACAGCAGGGTGACTAAGACTGCTATCGCCAAACAGGTTACCTCAGTGTTAAAGGAACTTCATCAGTGATGAAGATGAATGCAACCACTTAACTATTTTCACAGATCAACATGAAAAAATAAAGGAATCTCTGAGAAGAAACGATTTGCTTTGCACTAATTGAATATGTTCATGTTTGCAGACAGGAACAGACTGGTGTCTAGCAGTTTTGTCATGCCACAGACGTAGAGCCTTATAGGTCAAATGATGGATTAAATCCAATACAGATCGGACATCCCCTGTTCCCAGTCACAAGTGCTCAACAACATCCAGGGATGCTATGCATGTTATTTTAAACCTAAACAGAAATCTCAAAAGCTTTCACCTTCCTTAATAAAGCTGGTTTGAGTGACAAGGGGTCATTCAAGTTAGTAATTAAGACCTGTTGCCTTAGACACATCTACAGTAGAGAAACCCCTAGAATCCGAGAAATCTCTCGAGAGAATGTGAGACACTTTAACTACTCTGGAGCTTTTGTTGTTCTCTATGGGGTACCATTTAAGGGGAAAAAATACTCTTGTGGAAAAGAGCATAAATTCGACAAATGAACCACAATAAATTGCTCATCGTTTGACCCTAGCCAACTGTGATGTTGAAGTGGAAAGGAAGGGCCCTTTGGCTCCCCAATCCTTTCTACCTGTTCCTTTTCCTCAACCCTCTTCCTTTGGGCTTTCTAGTCCCAGGCCTCTCAGTTTTCTTGGCTGATCTCCATATGCAGGGGAAAACTTGATAATGTTTTATGTTGTAATGACTTGACAAGTTGCTTCTTACAGCAATGTTTACACTTGGACAAGCATTGAGAAGGATCACAAACTGGAGTTTCTGGATGGTTGCACCCTACCCACTTTGGTATCAAAAATTAAGCCTAGCTTCATGCGTCCTTTTATACTAAGTTGGATCAAATTTCGTATTTTACATGTCACAAGTACATTTCCTTCCAGCTTTTATTAATATGCTACCTATTATGTGGGAACATATGTGGTTTTCTGGAACAAATATTTTTAAAGATTCACTCTCTAGGTTCCATAAACCTTGTTTAGTGCAAAAAGAATTCTTTTCTTACAGAACAATTTCCAACTTTGCAGAATGATTCCAGGGTTGTCCAGACAATCCCTGCACAATCTTTTCACTCTGCCTGATCAATATGAGCACGGTGGTATGAAACTAACACCCTTACATCAGCATTAACCTAAGTGTTTCACTACCATACTCTTTAAAACAGGGCCCAGAGCTGAAGGACCCCTGAGAACAGTTGGCCAAAGGCAAGGTCTTTGTGCTTTAGAACAGAACACTGGCACAGTGGTTTCAGTCAAAATTTCCCTCCAGGAAGTAGAAATATGTGTACTTTTAAATTTTCATTCTTTAGAAAGAAGAGGAGGAGGAGGAGGAGGAAGAAGAAGAAAAACAAATAAATAAAGGGGGTCAAGAGGAAGAGACAGTTGGGGGAGGGGTGTGGTCACTTCCCATCACACAACAAACCCTGCCTATTAATACCAGGACTGACCATGACAACACGTTCCACTGTCAAATTTTATTCTACAGTATGAGACAGCCACCAGTTTCTGGATTGAAGTCATTTAATTCTAATGTGTGTGGGCAAAGTGGTCCCCAGAGATGTCTGCCACTGCAGTCACCTGGGAAGATGTAATCCCACACTGATGCCCAGAAACTCCATCTGCAGCAGTCTGGGCATCAGAAGATGTGCCAACACTCCCCAGATGATCCCTGAGTGCGGCTACCTTGCTCATCAAAGGCCAGAAGGCAGAGTGATTCCAGAGACCTGTGCGAACTGGTTGGCTGAGGCAGCTTCACTAGGTGCTAACTAGTGCTCATTCGCCTTTGGAACATCCCCACGTGAAACGGAGTCGGTGAAACGGAGGCAGAGTGGCTCACCGTCCCCCATAGCAGGATTTTGACCCACTAATCAGTAGGTCGTTCCCTCTCTCTTTCCCTCTGTGCGCTCTGACTCATGCTGCAGTAGAGAAAAAGACAAACAGCCTAGTCAATAAATGACCACCGCTGTTGGATTGCCTTTCTTTGACTACAGGGAACAGCCAGAGAGTGCCTTTCAGTAATGGAGGACCGGTTTAGGACGCAGGCTGCCATCTGGCTGCTTTTCCAGGTATCTCAGTCTTCCTCCCAAAAGGAATGTGAATGACTAATCACTGCTTCCTCCTCATTTACACACTAGACACAGAAACAGGGAGTCAGTCCGCTGTAATGGAGGCTGATACCCAGAACACAATGGCAGAGGCAGCCCTCTGCATGGGACAAGGAGGACACACTGGCATTCAAATACTTCACCCATCTGTTCGCCTTTGAAGCTGCTCTTTTAGGGCTTTCAAGATGTCAGTCCAAAGATGACAGGGGAGGGTTGTGACTAGGAAGGCTCTAAGACCGTGTTTAAGTTTTCTGCCTATCAGATCGACCTGGAGGTCTGGAGAAAGCACTGGAGTTGCAGTGTCTCAGCCCCAGAATTTCTAATGCACTAAATCATGGGAGAAGCCTGATTGTGTGGTTCTAGCAAATCTCAAGTGGTGCTTCTGGTCCCGAAACTGCACTGTAAAAGCCAATGGATAAATCATCACTGACGAGTTAGCTGGTAACGATCAGCAATCTAAGACCATCAGCCCCCTCAGTCAGCACAGGAGGCAAGACTAGGAAGAAAAGCCATACACTGGGGTTCTCATTCAGCTCAAAGATATTGTCTCTGTGGGATCTCCCTTAGATGTCCACGGAGAAGCGTAAGGGTACCGAAAATGTCCGGTAAAACAGGCTCGTATCAGAAGTGGACAAATGTCTCTTGGCTATTTTGCCTAGAGTCCTCTGGGCATTCTTGGTAAGCATTGGGTAATCTTTTCCCTAAATGCTACATCATCCCAATCCATTAGTTCAGCAGGAAGCAGACCTGCTTGACAAGCCAAAATAACATGCGGAGATGGATTTCAAAATGAAGATTTTATGGAGCTATACTATGACCAAAGATAAATTAAGTCGTTTGCATTCTAATAGCACCATCTAGTGGGAATTCAAGGATTTTTGTTTTGTTTTGTTTTGTTTTACATCAAACAGCCAAAAATGGAAGTGGTTTCTATTTTGTGGCGACGAAGGGGCCCCTCTTATTTGCTACTTCAGGTGCGAGACAGGAGAGCAACAAACAAGGCCAGAATATTGGGGCTAGGTGAAAGAAATTCTTTCAGTCATCCATAATATTTTCTACGAAATAGAGCAAAGTCATCAGCTGAGGAACATCTAGAGAGGAATGTTCACAAACGCTTTTCGCAAGTCACTGAATAAAAATAGTCAACGCAGAGAAATCACATCATATCACAATGCATGGTGCCAGACGTATACATGACAGCTTCAAACCCTGTTACTCGAATTCTAAAATGGTCTTTTAATAAGAAGAAAAAAGAAACAGAGCCAGATATTGGGGTAAATACCAAAAGATCAGAGAGACAAAGGAACAAGCCACAGCCACTTCTCACCTCACCAACTCCTTGAGTCCTCTGTTTGAAAGTCTCTGAGTCCTCCACCAAAAAAGCTCTCTAGCCGAAAGGCATCAGCCAAAAAGGGCTTCTGCAGAAAAGGCTTTAGCTGAAAAGCACTTTAGTTCCTGTCTCCTCACACCTTATATACCTTTCTCTGCCCAGCCATATTACTTCCTTCCTAGTGCCAGGATTAAAGGCATGTGACTTCCCAGGCAAAGGCACGAGATCTCAAGCGCTGGGATTAAAGGTACATGCCACCACTGCCTGACTCTGTTTCTCTCCTAGACTAAGTCAATCTCATGTAGTCCAGGGTGGCCTTGAACTCATAGAGATCCAGAGAGATCTCTGACTCCCAAGTGCTTAGTGCTAGGATTAAAGGTGTGTGCCATCACTGCCTGGCCTCTGTGTTTAATCTAGTGGCTTGTTTGTTCTCTGATCTTCAGGCAAATTTTATTAGGGTGCACAATCTATCACCATGAAACCCCCTTAATTATAACCAGTCAATAATTAAATGAAGAAATAGGACTAAGCTCATATTCTGCATAGTAACCAATGAAGCATACATGGTTATATATAGTTGAATAAATTGAATTCTGTATTCTCTACTTTAGATTCTAGAAAGAGAAAATATAAAGACAGAAGGAGAAATGCTAAGCCACTATTCCTAGTTCTAAGAAGGGACTAGAAAACTGGAAAACTGAGGATGAAAGAAAAAAACAAAAATCTATTTCACTGGCCCACAAATGCTATCCAGAGAATGCCATTCTAGATGATCTGATGGTTTAAGGGTAACCATCTGTGGTAGTTCATCTTGATTGTCAACTTGATGGGATTGAGAATCACCATGGAGACAAACCTCTGGGCATTTTCTATGACGGGGGTTTCTACATTAAGTTAACTGAAGTGGGAAGACCCCCCCCAAGCATGGGCAGCACCATTATATGGGCAGCACCATTACATGGGCTGGGGTGTTGAACTACATAAAAAGAAAGCAAACTGAGCACCAGCACTCATCCCTCTCTGCTCAGAGACTGGATACAACGTGACCAGCTAACTCACACTCTGGCCACCAAGACTTCATGCCCCGATGAACTGGACCCTCAAACTGTGACCCAAAATCCTTTCTTAAGATGTTTTTGCCAGGTTTCTTCCTTCCTTCCTCTCTCCCTCCCTCCCTTCCCTTTCTTTCTCTCTTTTCTTTTCTTTCTTTTTCTGTAGCAACAAATAAAGTAACTACTACACTTCTAACTGAACCAAGTGGGTTAGTGGAATGTTAATCAAAACAATTTAAATTTTCTAATTACTTGATTGTTGAATCTGCGCTTTTCCCCCCACAGCAGGCAGATTCAATGGATGTCTGATAATTGTCAAGTTGATATAGATTGGATACTCTTACATAGCCCAACCATGTGAGACAGGTGAGGTAAGGGGGTCTGGCCTGCCCCTCTTCCTCTGACTCCAAAATCATGTAGTCTGATTACACAATACACACTTAGGATCTCTAGGCAGAAAATCGGGAATCTAGAACACTCAAAAAGCCAATAATTTTTTCTAAATGTCAACAAGATGCCACAAGTAGAAGATTACACACTTGACCTGATACAGCAGATCAAAGTGCACCATGATTCTAAATATTATATAAAGTTACCTTCACGCCGTATGTATGTATGATGTATGAAATATAAACTAATTTTGCGTCTAGAAATGATTCTCACCTTCAGCATGCCTCATTGTATACATGCAGATATTCCTCAACCTGAAAAGATAATCTGGAACCCTTGTAGCCTTGAGTGTGACAGCTAAAGTTACAGTCAACTTCTGCTTCCCTCTCTACCGTTTCCCTAATGAGTGGATGTGTAATTGAAGGAAAAAGAACAAAACAATCATTTGACTCAACTTTTTTTTTGTCCCAGAGTCCTCTACTGGCTGTTGCCATTCATGTGCAAAGCACCAACCAGCAGCTGTCACCCATGTGGCAAGTGTCCGGAACATGTCAGTTCAGAGGGCCCTGGATGGTCTCCCTAACATGGTAGACCCAACTGCAGCTGCCTCCTCCCTACCTCTCTTCTACTTGCCTTGCTAGCCTCTGTCTACAGTTGTCCCTGCAGCCACTGAGCAGACTCTGGATTGACAGCTGGAGAGATAACTCAGGTCCACCCGCCTTCTCCTCACTTGTTCAGCCAGTGCGGACTTCACACATGGGATGCGCTCTTGTCATTCCAAGGACAGGGTAGACTATTTGGAGGCCTTCTCCCTTCGTTGTCCCTGTATAACCACAGACAGAAGCTGACTTAAGAGACAGATAGCTAGGAAAGCAATGCCGACCCATCCTCCCCCCCACACACACACACACACCGCTTTTTGAAGCCCCAGCGGTCTCATGGGAAGATAGCAACCTGTCACCCTATGAGCCCCATATCAGTCCTTCCTCCCAATTTTCTTTCCATCTCCTCCTTACCCTACCTCAAATATACCAAGTTAGAGAATAGAAACCTCATACTGAGGACAGCAGGAAGTCAGGGGTGCCTTCAATCTGGAAGGACAAGAATTACTTGGTGGAAGCTGGACCAAAGGCACAATTATGTGGTGATATATTGTGTACCCTAATAAACTTATCTGAGGATCTGAGAGCCAGCCACTAGATTAAACATAGAGGCCAGACAGTGGTGGCACACACCCTTAATCCTATCACTCTGGAGGCAGAGATCTGTCTGGATCTCTGTGAGTTCAAGGCCATACTGGGAACAGAGCCAGGCATGGTGACACACACACACACACACACACACACACACACACACACACACACACACACACTTTAATCCCAGGACTTAAGATCTCATGTCTTTGCTTGGGAAGGACACATGCCTTTAATCCCAGGAAGTAAATTGGCAGGGCAGAAAAAGGTATGTAAGGCATAAGGAAACAGGAACTCACTCTCTTGAGGCTGAGGATTTCATAGAGGTAAGAACTTGTGGCTGGCTTGTTCTGTTTCTCTGATCTTTCAGCTTTCACCCCAATATCTGGCTCTGGGTTTTGTTTTGTTTTGTTTTTATTAATAAGACCATTTAGCAATTGATGTTACACAGTCAAGTCTGGTATGAGTGGAAGCTGGAGCAGCAGAGGAGATGTAGTTACTGTCACCAAAGTCATAATGAGATGGGCAGAAGCATCCCTCCCTTGTGCGCTCCAGTCTCCTACAATTTTCTGCAGTGGACCCAAAGCAGCAGGAAGCTGACATGGAGAACCTCAAATTCCCAAGGTCTTTATCAGCTCTATGGTACCTGGCAGAGCTGAAGGGATGGGGAGTCAGCTGAGCCCAGAGAGAGCTCCAGGCTTTGAGAACAGAAAAATAAACAATGGCCAGCTCATACTAAGAAAGTTTACCCCTTGTGCCTTCAGCACCAGACTTCTGCGATCTTTATCTACACTTTGGAGAGGAATGGAAAGACACCAAAGATACCCAGCACCTTTTTGTTTTCATCTCTGTGCTCTCATCTGGATTTTCAGCTCAAGAAGAAAAGTCTTGTAAAAATGAAAATTATAGGAGGTGATTATTGTTGTAAAATAAGAGCCTCCCAAAACCAAGCTAAAAATCAAAATGGAATCACCTATGCTGAAAGCTCCACATTAACAAACTGCAACTAAATTGTCATTTGACCTTCAGGAGCAAGAGGTAGTAATCACATTTTCTAAACTGGCTAATTTTAATTAACATGGTAATGAACTTCCCTCTGCTTTAATCTTTACCAAAAAGGAAAAGAAAATCAAAATGCCCCTGGGTAACCTGATTTTGACCAATCAATTATATTTCCTTTTTTTCTCAATTCCTGTCCCCACTATACAGAGGAATTAATTTTAAAATGACCAATTTGCTTTTTCTCCTCTGCCTCTTGTCTTCCAGTTCTGACTCCATCTATAAAACTAAATTCTGCTAAGCTCAGTGTAAACCTTAGTCCATTTATGGAATGAAGTTCTGCTTGATTCTAGAATCCCAATGCCAATCAAGGTCTTTCTGGTATTTTGAATGTAAATGGCCCCCATAAGCTCATAGGCACTATTAGGAGGTGTGGCTCTTTTGGAGTGGATATGGCCTTGTTGGATAAAGTGTGTCATTCTGGGGGTAGGCTTCCAGGTTTTCTATGCTCAGGATACTGCCCAGTGTTTCCATTGACTTCCTGTTGCCTACAAGATGTAGGACACTCAGCTACTCCTCCAGCACCATGTCTTCCTCCATGCCACCGTGTTCCCCTCCATAATGATATTGGACTGAACCTCTGAAACAGTAAGCGAGCCCCCTCAATTAAATGTTTTCCTTATAAGAGTTGCCATGGTCATGGTGTCTTCACAGCAATAGAAACCCTAAGACAGTCTTTAAATATGTTACAAAATGTTTTTTTAATCATTTCTATCAACATCCTGTCATATGAAATTTAATACCCAGTTTCCCAGTGTATTTATTAATCAGTTGTGATAGAGCTGCAGGCAGTTGCCTTGACATTGCAATTTTGTTCTAAACTGTATCTCAGGTATTTTTTAAAAATCTTTATTGTTGACAAATTTTTACCTGGTTCATTATTTCCTACCCAATTGAGATTTCAATATGTCCAGGATTTTTTAAACTGCATCTAAGAAAGCATATGTAATTCTATAGAGAAACCCTGAATATATCATATTTCAGTACCTTCAACTAAGGTTTTATTAAATTGTATTTCTATTTATTTTGAGAATTCCTACTGTAATAAATCACTGAATTTTATATGTGCTCACTATTATGCTTTGAAGGAGAGGTGAGATCTTAGGTTCTCAAGAGGCCAACTCTGAATAACGGTTCACGAGCAAGTGATTTATTAAGGCAGTTCTCTCAGGAGAAATGAGAGAAGGAGGAAGCAAAGGAGGAAGGCAAGCCAAGCACAGAGTTTCTGAACAAGTCCTGGGGATGGTGACCTCAGCCTGGTTCTACAGGGAACTCTAAATTTCCTTCAAGAAATTTGTCTATATGCAAAGCAAAATAGCTGAGCTTTCATGCTCTGGAATATTAGACAAAGAGCCCACAGTTGGCCACAGAATATATACAGGTATGAGCCACCCCCAGTAACACATCTCCTCTGACAAGAACCCCACCTCCTAATCCTGTCCAAAGAGTTCCACCAACAGGGGACTAAGTATT